GGTTACGGGAGCTACATGCGGACGTTCGAGATCAAGATGATCTGGAAAGGGATATTGGCCGCCAGGTGCGTTCTATAATTTAACTTGCTCTGTTTCTTGGTGATGGGCATATCAAATGGGAGAATTATTCTTACTTTTGGACAACCACAACCAGGCGGACAGGGTTCTTGTAGAGCAAGCAGATGAAAGAGACCACAAACGACTGGAACGTACAAGGGTAGAGAAATCGTACGTAAACCCACCTTTCGCAACTTGAAAAATTGCGACTAACTATAGGGATCCTTGCTATAGGAAACTAGAATCGCAGATCTTAAGATTACACCAGCGACTCTCCCAACCTGTAGGCACCGCTGCACGTGTTTGCATAACTACAGAAATAGAGAACCTAGAATCGCGGATATCATCCCTCGACGTTGATGTTGAGCAGATCCAGCAACGCATCGATGAGAGGCACCAAGGACTTGAGGAGGCAGACCAGGTGTCTGAGTCCGGAAGACTGCCAAATGAGTCTCGAAGAGATTATCTGATACGGACTGGAAAAATTACACCCTTCTCGAAGATTGGAGGAGGGGCTGATGGGTCCAGTACTGCAACACTAAGGGAAGCGTTGATCGACGCGGAGGATGAGCGAGAGCAGGAATTAGCATTGCGGGAATCTTCGTCACATCTTGAACAGTCCCATCGCCACCTTCTACGTCCAGGATTTGATTACGATGAGTCGAGCGCAGAGAGAGAATCCGCTGATCTCTTGCTTTCGCGGCCACAAAAGCGTCGGAAGACAGGGCCCCATCCAGTGCCAGGGCCCGAGAAAGGAGACAAGGGTGCAGGCGCATCTCATCCATTTTCATCTAGATTATCAACCCCGACGTCTGATGCGGAGTATGTGGACTCTGCAATATTCGTCGCGTCTGGAGAAGAAGGCTCGTCGGACGAGTTGGATTTGGCTTCTATTTCATCTGAGGGGAAATCACGAAAGAGGCGGCCAAAAATAGTGGGAAAGAAGAGCGTCGAGAAGGTTGTGGAAAGTTTCGAAGGGGTGGACGACGGTGATGAGAGGGTATATCGAGCTAGACTGGAAGATTGGGTACATAGGAGGTCAGCAGCGCGGAAACGAGCCCAGAATGAGGGTGATCCTCAAACGGCAGATGCGGCTGATGCTATACGTGGAGCTGGTGAAAGACATAGTCCTTTCGCGGAAGACGAGGAGGAATGGGTTTTACCGCATCCAAAAGTTCCTGACAAAATATTGGATGGTGGTTATTGCGTCCCTGGAGACATATATCCATACCTTTTTGATTACCAGAAAACAGGAGTCCAATGGCTTTGGGAGCTCTACCAACAGAAAGTAGGGGGAATAATCGGTGATGAAATGGGACTTGGTAAAACAATCCAAGTCATTGCTTTCCTGGCTGGGCTTCACCATAGCAGGATCCTGACCAAGCCTGTCATTGTGGTTTGTCCCCCAACCGTGATGAAGCAGTGGGTAAACGAATTCCATCGGTGGTGGGCCCCGTTTCGGGTATCAATTTTACACACTTCAGGGAGTGGTATGGTAAATCTACGAAGGGAGAGCTATGCGGATCCACGACTAGAATCCCAACTATGGGAGCCAGACCAGCCACGCGGACTCACCAAAGAACAGAAGGCTGCGAAACGGATTTTAAAACGTGTCTTGGAGGAGGGCCATGTACTCGTGACTACTTACTCCGGCCTCCAGACGTACTGTTCCTTGCTAATCCCAGTTGACTGGGGCTGCGCTATTCTTGACGAAGGGCACAAGATTCGGAATCCGGATACCGCGATTACGATCCACTGCAAGGAATTGCGCACTGCGCATCGTCTCATTCTGTCCGGAACGCCTATGCAGAATAGCCTAACTGAGCTTTGGTCCCTGTTTGACTTCGTCTTTCCTATGAGATTGGGGACGCTGGTCAATTTCCGAAACCAGTTCGAATTCCCAATTCGTCAAGGTGGATATGCAAATGCATCAAATCTGCAGGTGCAAACTGCGGCAAAATGTGCAGAAACGCTCAAAGATGCCATCAGCCCTTACCTACTTCAGCGGTTTAAAATTGACGTGGCTGCCGACCTTCCTAAGAAAAGTGAACAGGTGCTTTTCTGTAAATTGACGAAAATACAAAGATCAGCGTACGAAGCTTTTTTGGGATCTAATGAGATGTCATCGATACTCAGAGGTCGGAGAGAGGCGCTGTATGGCATTGACATGCTCCGCAAGATTTGCAATCACCCCGACCTCCCAGAACACAAAACGTTGTCTAAAAAATCAAGTTATAACTACGGCAGTGCATCCAAGTCTGGAAAAATGCAAATCGTCAAGTCGCTGTTGGAACTGTGGAGGGATACAGGTCACAAAACTCTCCTTTTCGCTCAGCATCGAATCATGTTGGATATCCTTGAACGGTTCATAAAATCGCTGTCTGGGTTCAAATACCAGAGGATGGATGGAAACACACCGATTAAACTTCGACAAAGCATGGTTGATGAGTTTAACAACAATCCAGATATACATGTTTTCCTACTAACCACCAAAGTTGGTGGTCTCGGAGTGAATTTGACTGGTGCAGATCGGGTCATCATTTACGACCCGGATTGGAATCCTTCGACAGATGTTCAAGCCCGCGAGAGATCTTGGAGGTTAGGCCAAAAACGCGAGGTTACGATATATAGACTTATGACAGCAGGGACCATTGAGGAGAAAATTTACCATCGCCAAATTTTCAAGCAATTTTTGACCAATAAGATTCTGAAGGACCCGAAACAGCGGCAGACGTTCCAGATGAGCGATTTGCATGATTTGTTTACCCTTGGGAACGATGGGCCGACTGAAACGAGTGGGCTATTTAAAGACGCAGAAGTTACGTTTCAAGAACCCAAGGGTGCCCAAACCGCAAGCGCTAGAATATCGCAAAATCCAACAGCCGGAGAAGCTGCCAAGGGTGCAGACCGTGAAGAACAAGAAAAGATCAGCCGCGTCACAGGCGTGTCTTCTCTGGAGCGCTTCCAAGGTCCCCCGGAAACTCCAAGTGCTTCTAAAACGGAGGATAAAACAGCTCCGAACTCGGAGGCGCGGTTGATGGAAGGCATATTTGCCCGATCTGGCGTGCACTCCGCGCTCGAGCATGAGCAAATCATCAATGGAAAACGCATTATAAAAGCAGACCCCAAAATAATCGAGGCCGAGGCTAAGAAGGTAGCAGCTGAAGCGGCCAGGGAGCTTCTCAAGGCAGGCGAACTTGCCAAATCCATCCCGGTTGGCACACCCACCTGGACTGGTCAGTTCGGTGTTGCAGGTAGGCCTGAAAGCACCATGCAGCCACGTGGGACCATTTCGTCTCCACTCTCATCCGGTGGTGGCAGCACCATACGCAGAGTCACAGGCGGCCCATCCTCCACCAGCCTCCTTGCCAATCTCACAAACCGTACAGTGGGAAGTGGTGGGAGCGGCCGAGGTGGCGTCGGCGGTAGTAGTAGCAGCAATGCATCGGGCACTAATACGCCCCGCTCTGGTACCCCAGGAGGGCTTACCGACAGTATTAGCCGCAGCGACAAGCCGCGCGGCAAAGATTTTCTGAAGCTGATCCGTGATTATATCATGGCGCATGGCGGGTCTGTGCACACGCAGAACCTCATTGATCATTTTAATCGTTTCTGTGACACGCCGCGCGCCACGATGGAATTTAAGGAGATGTTGCGGACTATTGCTGTGTTGGAGAAGACTGGGGGAAGGGCAAGGGGGAAGTGGGTACTTCGGCCGGAGTATGCGGGGTGAAAATCATCATTGACGGCTTTTATATACCCACCCTTAATTCTGGCTGTTTGGAACGATCTGTTCATGTTTTGGCATAAGACAAGATGATAATGATAACTATAATAAAAATCGTATGTAATCTGTTTTTGGGAACAGGTAGCTCCATCCATGTGTGATCGAATTGGTTCCTTGGTAGATATCTGTCTTCTTGTGCAACCTTTTGAGTATGGAGAAACCAAGGGACTGACTGCCACGTAAACCATGGAATGAGCCTCAAAACAAAGAAATGCAGTTGACAGCTGTGTACGGAGGGGGTACTGTACGGCACAAATAATAATAGAACCTGACATATTTCTAATCCTTACTCCACCTGCGGCTGACAACAATCGGGCCAGAGGCTGATGCTAAAAATAGCCTCGGTCTAGCCCCATTTAGCGGGCTGTTTCGCCGAACTGTCACGTGGATGGGGCGGGTCTCAGACATTTTCCCTTTTTCGGCCATCGTCCACGACAAACTTCACATCATCGTCGTCAAACTTCAAGTTGTCGTCTTCATCTTTTTTGCCCCTCCTCCTCTTCCTCTTCCACCTCCTCCTCTTCCTCTTCTACCTCCTCCTCTTACCCCTCTTACCCCTCTTACCCTGCCCTCCTCGCTATCTCCTGTCCTCTCGCTATTCGATATCATCGTCTCTCGCTAACCGCGGCGGTTCGCGCTTTGCTTTCTCTGGTTATTGGATATCAAACCATCACATCCCGCTCAGCATCGCTATATCGTTAATAACGCAGCATTGTTTCGCCAAACTTTCGTTTTTGTTGCTCTTTCTAGTTCTCTCTATTAGAACGTTTAGAATAATTCATTATTACCATACCTATCAGCCCTGTTCGTCCGTGGCAGTCGAATCTTTGTCCGTACCATCGACAACACACGGACGTTCGCTTTTAAGCCGGACGCCAGCCAGCCCATTCGCTACCAACCTACCATCTAACTCAAAAGTCTATTTGCTATGACTTGAAAAAGGTGAAATTACTCGGTCATCATCTACTTGGGAGAATATTGTGCTGTACAAGAAAGACGTTGCATTCCCGCCCCCTTTTTTTTTGGTTTATTGCTTGGGATATAAAATCTTGGGTGTTGAAAGCCCGACTGTGCCAACCTTTTTTTACCCTCTCTTTTCTTGTTGGGTCTTGCACTTGTTGGCCTTCAGTGTTCTAGAGAGGGACCGCGAGTCAATATGCGGCCCACCAGCCACATTTTCATTCTTTGTTCGCTACTCCTGCTGGTGTCGTTTGCGAAAGCCTCGTTGGGGGATGGCAAGGTTCATTTAGCACAGCCAATCGCGCTTGCAAGACGGCAAAATAGAGGTGAGCTTTTTATTTCTATTTTCTTGAAAATAAAAGGAGAGGTCTTTTTTTATGTCTCACACTCCTCTAATACCTCACAGAAGACACTACGGCGGATGGACCTTCGAGGACAGAGGATCCCACAATCACTGAAGCCCCGACGGAGACCGGGGACTCAGAAGAAACCGGAAGAAATACCGACGGAAATACCGATACAACTGCTGGAACAAAAGATACGGGTACCAGAACGACAAATCCGAGGCCCACAAGTGTCCCCTTTGATGCCCCCGCAGGCGGTATTAAGCTTATCGAACCAGCCATAACCGATGGACCAACCTACATTAAAATCGGGACGACAGCAACATTCAAATGGAACTACACATCCCTCCTCGTCTCCCCGACCGCCGTCGATGCGGTCGCATACTGTAGCAAAAACGACCATTCATACACCATTTCTGGGAACATGACCGTTGCACCAACCGTAGAGATCGAGTGGGATACGGGTGCCTACAGAACAAGCGACGTGCCGTTACTCACGGAAGACTACACGCTCATGGTGTATGACAATTCTAAAGATCCCTCTACTATCCCTGGGCCAGGTGAATTGGGTTCCCAAAACCAGTTTGTCTTTGGAATGTATTACCCTCAACCATATACTCCACGTCAAGGTATTTTTATTTATTGCTTTTGCCCCCTAAGCTCCCCGGGCCCTGTTCGACCAAGCCCGTTTTCTAGCAGTAGTATGCATTGGCAATTCTAACTGTTTTCCCTTCAGATTTCGTCTGTCCCGGTTGCAACAGTGCTGTCTCAGATATGGAACGACAAGCTCTTAAGTTCATTGTTGGCATGTCCGCAGTCACAGTTCTCTCTTTCACATGGTTCGTTACGGGCGTTGTTGGACTTCTTTAAAGATGCTGCAATACAAAAAAGCAAGAGAGGCAAAAAAAAGGCCTTACTTCCTTATTCCCAGTTTCCTCCTTCTAGAGAGAATCTATTCTTCTTCTCTCACCATATTCTTCTACTTCCAAATTTCCGGATCTCTCTCGTCTCAAATTTAATTTTTCGCAAATTAACCCCACTTTGATATTCGACCTTATTCTCCCATCTAGCATATAGGTACTACCATCATTGTATCTCATCTAGTGACGTCGTCATTTTTCATATTTTCGTTGGTTTTCCTGTTTCCTGGGTTGCCTTTCTCGTTTCTTTTTTCTTTCTCGTTCTACTATGATCTGATTTGTAACAAGCAATAACTTTTCCCACTAAAGTTGTGGTTTATTGCTTTGTTCATTTGTGTCTGTTGGGGGCTTAGGTTTTTTTTTATTTTTTTTGGGTGCAGGGGAAACTTATCGTACATAATTTAATTCGAATGTATATTTTGTGTTCACAGTGTCCCTCAAGGAGTCTTCTTTCTGTGCCTCGTAATATTTCCTTCAATTTTTGTGATGAGAACATGTGTGGAATGATACTGAAATCTTACGTCCAAGGTCCCTAATCCTTTCATAATTTCCAGGTCGTTAAAACAAACTCACAGTAGCCACCCACTCAATTTCTTTTTTATTAGTATTTTATTTCAAATATTTTCCCGTTGTCTCCCCTTTCATAGCACATAAGTAAAAGCATGAAAGAAAACGAAAAGAAAAAAGCAAAAGAAAATGTTCCCAGATAGATCACAGGGATATTTTCTCCCTCTCCTCTTTTACTTCTTCCCTGTTTTAATAACATTCATTCCCATCCGAGTCAAAAGACTTCCAAAAACTCTCAAGCAACATACACTAGCAGCGAAAAGGACAGAAGATGAATGATGATTAGTATCTCATAGACAGGCTATATATAAATGTTCATAATGTAAAGCACAGAGTTGTCATAATTTTCTAAACACACAGAATTGGGAAATATGCAGAAATAAATTTGCCCCGCTTATCTTTGTTTTTGGAGACGCGCAAATAATGTATGTCAGGAGATAGCGGGCGGGGAGTATGATGGTCATTCCAAGCACCAATTCGTTCAAGCCTAAAAATCTTAATTGGGAAGCGAAGGATCCGGAAGAGTAAAGGAAGCCTCCCTCCTCGGAAAAAAAATAAAATAAAAAAATAAAAAAAAAAAAATTCATTTCTATACTTTTGTTTTTGTGGAATAAGTTAAGGGAAATCGTTGTTCATTTCACCACCAAAACGAAAATGGCATGGAGGAAAAGAGAATAGGCCCGGGTCGGATGAATATGTTTCAAGCAACAAGGGAGAGGACTATTGGCAATGTGGGTGGGGGTATTAAGTTCTGAGAATTAATTATCGTTTCCATCATCTTGTTTTAGGGGGCTTCCGGCCAAGAAGGTACGCTTTTCAAGATGAGGGAGGAAATGGAATAACCTTGATACCGAGCCGAGCCAGGCGACGTGGAGTTGGATGGGATATCGTGAATTAGGCCTGCGCCGGATGCGAACCTTCGGTGATGCTGCTAGGTGTGTGGGATGGTTCAGAGGGAGAGAGTAGATGGACGAGGCTTGGTACCCATTGGGTTGGGATGACCATGGCCATGATTTTCTTCAAACCGGTTGAATTCAATTCACTGAAAATGGTGAAGGTATACCAGCGGAATTTTGGTCTCAGAGACAACCTGAATGGTATGCATTCCAGGCGAAGGTCGTTTTATTGTCGGCTGACTCTATTTGAGTTGGTTTTCGGACGGTTGGTAGTTGGGCGTTGATATTCGCTAGCTTGTGGCAATTTAAACACCTTGTCCTTTTAACGTCCGCATAGGAACAGAGCATGTCCTGAATGAGAATGGGAATTTTGTTAGCGTAGATCAATACAGTTGGGGATACAACGGAAATTTAGGCAGGCAAACGCTTATTCACTGAGATCCATATCATGGGGACGTGAAAACACTCACCAGAAGATAGCGGAGGTCCCATTTCCTCTCTCTAGACCTGATGCAATCCAATATTTCCGTCTCCATTTTGGACGTGTTCCCTCGAGGCACTATCATCACCTGCCATTCTCTGGGGCTCTTGCTGTCATAGGACGGACCCTGGAGGACATAGAACTGTCGCGAAAGTTTCTGGATCGCGACGGAGAAGCGGCCATTATTATCAGCCGGCCGTGGGACATTAATGGTTATTGGAATATCTTTCTTCTTGTACTCTTCAACGACATCTTTCCATCCACTTTCACTGGACGCCACTCGGCGTTTTTCCTCCTCCTCTTCTAGCCGATTTTTGCGCTCTTTCTCTCCTTGCTCTTCCCTGTTGAGTGTTTTTAAGATATCATCGTAGTCCCGCTCCCACATCCCCGTCAGGGGCGGATGCTCGCCTCCGCTTTCGGCTAATATCTGGTCTATTCGATCCCAGATCGCCATCATGTCTGGACTCCGCCATTCAGATTTGAAATTTTCCACTTCAGCTACTCCATCACGAGCAGTTTGTGAGAGTTGTTCAAACATCTCTTGGGGTGACTTTGGGATTGGCGTACGTATATCAGGATTAACAATGGGAATCAATGGAGAAAGCAAGCGGTTTGGGACGAGAGTTCGGAGCCCATGAATCTGCATGAACGTTAGCATGAATAACTTTTAGCTATATTCTTCTTTCTATCCACGTCCAGGAAGGGTGATGAGTCACACGTGGCTATTTGCGCCGAAAGACGTGTGATAGTACGTCGATTGAAAATGCCCACAGACCTTTGCTTCCATCTGTTGTAACATTGACAAGGCTGTTACCAGTTTGCTCTCTGAATCCCAATCCTCATTTGACGAAAGTAAAACGCCCTTCTCCTGGCCACTGGAACTGTTGTCAACACCAATAGCAGCAGGCCCGGCGGGAACAGGTGCTGACAAGGAGCTGGGTGGTGCGCCATTACCACCTAAGCCCATGTGCGTATCCATGTCGTTATGATTGAAACTTAAAACGACTTCATGCGACGGTATAGAGGTATATATAGATAGATAGTAAGCAGCCTATCTCCGAATTTTTGAGTAGATGAACACAAAATCCAAAGCTGTCACTTCCTGCGGAGGCGGACCTCCCAGCTAGGCAGGGATATATAGCAAGCAAGTCCACCAAGAGAAAGAGTGTTTATAATAGTCAATCGATTATAGATAGTCTGCGAGATCTTCAAACACCCAGGGGGCAAGAGCGCCGGCTGATAGATGTGATGATCGCTAGAGTTTGACCGCTAGAGGTCAATCCTGCGTTGAAAACGCTATGAATAAAGAGGGCCTGGTAATGCATAAGAAAGGTTTATAGGGAATATTCGCAAATTAAATACAATGAGCCCAGTGGTGGTAAAATAATTCGGCAGCTGTTGACGTATGAGAAGTGTAGTTGGAGCTGCGAGATGAAGAGAGTGGATCGATCATGTGAGGGAAGCTTATTTAAAATGCTAGCTTATTTAGGAATAGTCACTATAGAAAACACATATCACGTGATACATTTTAAGTTCGGGTCCATGCATGGGTCTAGAAGCCTGCTTATTCGGGTTAGAGATGTTTGTGTCTAAAAATAACCGCGCCTTTTTCATAGAATTGCAAGTTTGGCATATATTGACTTTTTTTAAGTTCGCAGCGGGAAGGCCGGCTTGAATGTCATTCATTCTCTGCATGTTCAACTTCATGCGTTCGGGTTTTTTTCCAAACCAAGAATGAGTGCAGGGGTAGGTTCCTAGCTCTGACAAACCAACCTCCCCGTTAGGCCATAGCTTAACGATTGGCCGGAAGGGGTGGAACTGTGGTTACTCTGTAGACAAGAATCAACAGCACTATGTATGTATGGAGAAAGCCTACGGAGAACTAGATAGCTTCCCCATTTCGGAATATTTCCATCCAGAAACAACTTCATCGGGTTCAACTAAAGCAGGCATCATGGAATATATTACAATTTATATAACTTATGCATTTGGCTAGTGCTTACTGCAGAGCTACCCATGTCAGCCAGCCTTGTTCATGTATTTAAATCCTACAGCCTAGTTACAGGGGAACCAACACCCCTCCCCCCCCTGGAGCTGCGGCAACGAAACACTGATTCATAAAGGCAACCCATGGATATGGTTACAAAACGTCAAAGAAAGTGATCTTGTACAGAGACTTTAAAATTTCGGTCAGGAGAGGAAAAAGGACATATTATTAAAACCACAAATGTTGAAAAGGCCTTTTTAACAACCCAAAAATGCAGGCTGATAAACAAAAGAAAATAATATGCCATACAATCCACACTAGTGTGTATTTGAAGATCCTGAGGAAGACGAAAAGACAAAAGACTCCCTGGCACCATTCTCATGCTAAAGCCGCTTATTCCCCCTCACAAACATACTGCAAACAACAAAGCTTCAAGATATCCTCTCACCCAACAATAATAATCTTACCCGCCCCCGGACTACAGTCCGGCGCCAATGCATAAGCAGCCCGTCCATACATTTCTGGCATGGTCCCCAAGCTGGAATTAGCCTGCACCACCGCGAAGACAAGCGGCGGCGCACTGATCGCCAACGTCGCAAGCGCTGACAGAACTAGCGCATCCACCGCCTACATCGGCTCCGAGAGATGTAACGGCGTTTCGTAAAACTCCGGCCGCGACGGCGCCGCCATGGACAAATCGACGAAATAAAACATAACCCCTGTGGCAAAGTAGAGATTGGATGGGGATAGAGCGCGAGAGATCGACCGGATGGGCGCGGCGGTTGGCATCGGCTGTCGAGGCGGTGGTGGCAAGGGGATACCCATGGGTGGCCATGTCGCTCCTGCCGCCGATACCAACATGCTAGAACAGGTTCCTTGCACACCATATTGGAACGTGGCAAGCAGCTTTCTGTAACCGTTGAAGGCCTTTGCGGCCTCGGCGTCTGAGGTGGGTTCCGTCTTCCTGCCGACCTCGAACAGGAGCTTTTCGCTACCCCTAGAGGGTTTGAGGATGGCCCAGGTGTGGCCTATCAGCTCGCCGGCCGGGTCGTGTTCTTCTGTCGTGGTAGGTTCACGGAGGCTGAAGTTAACTTCAAGCTGGTCGCCAGCGTTGAGCATGGTGAGGAAGCGCTGGTAGAGCAACGGTTGCGGGCTGCTGGGACATGTGAGTATGAACTGGTTGGGGAAATCAATGGCGCCCGTGCGATTGGTGAGGATGCGGCCATTGGCATTTTCAATAGCGACAAGGGCTGTGGTGCCCGGGACGAAGGGCATGCTCTCCAAGAGCTTCGCTAGATGGGGCTGGACGGGTTGAGGGTTATATATGGAGTGAGAGGAGAGGAGAGGAGAGGGCCTCTTAATGAGAAGGGTAGGAGTCTAAAGACTTCATTTTCATTGGCAATTGGAGGAAGAGCAAGAGGTCAGATAGACAGTACTGAAAGTGACACAGGTAGCACGGCAACAGAGAAGGAGAAAAAGTGTATTTGTGACCTTCTTTCAACGTAATAAATAAAATCCAAGAATTAATTCTCCGGCGATCAGGACAAAAAGCAAGAGGAGCTCGCTTGAAAATATCATCCAGTCGAAATAGTGATTCCTCGGACCTTGATGGCATCCCTTTCACTCCTTCTATCCACGAGACAGGATATTAGCGCAACAAGCTCATTAACACGCAAATTCATGTACGGAGTATCCAGGCTGAGTTCAAGTACAGGTTCCCGGGCAGAGTTTCCCTGCTGGTGATTGCCGTATTTGTTCTCAGCCCACCAACAAGAAAACGAAGTGATGGAGCATGACTTGAGGTGCAGAGCATTCGTGATCAGGAAGAGAGGATTCGTTCCTAACCCGCTAGATTGGCTCCGTTTTGGAGATTATTTGCTAGGCTGATGGACCCTTCGTAACCGAGCGGCCTCCCTATGGATCCACCCCGGAGAAGGTCAGTTGTTGGACATGTGTGGAGATCTGCCGAAGCCCCCGAACTCTTCTTCCTTCAGGCTTCATTCTCATTGACGTTTCTCTTCTGTTTGGCATGAACCGGGGGCCGGGGGGGAGTCTACCGTGTGCCTGTGACTCGCAGTCAATCAATGCCAGTCATGGAGGTGGTTAACTGTTCTCTGCAGCTGTTGGCGATGCTTCACGCAAGCAAAAGCGTTAGCTATTAGCTGGCCGCCCGAGGACTTTGTTGGCTATCGTATCTCGGAGTACGGTATGTACCTAGGTATCTTGGGCTTATATATTATTATTTACGACGGGGATGGGGAAACGAGCAAGGGAAATAAAACGAAACACACGCTAAAGCAAGAGAGAGCAACAAGCCTTCCGCTGTCACCGAGAGATCGGCCAAGCTAGAAAAAAGATAGAAAAAAGTATAAAAAAAATTGGGAACTCTGGATTAGCAAAGGAGGTTTGCATTGTAGTTACTAAACCTTCTCAGCATGCATGATTCGTGATGAGTAAGAAACGTCTATCCTACTTCACATGTGCTGAGATAGGTGCTGGAACATCGATGACTGGGAATAATTTTAACTCTGCAGCGGATTTCTAACCTAACTTAAAAGCTCTCAATTGAAACATTCACGCACAGGCAATGCCTGCAATTTCTATTTTGAGAAGAGTATCATATCAGAGAGTGCTCCATTTCGGAGACAAACCTCTGGAGAGGGAGAAATCAAGACCTCATTCAAAATCCCAGTCTATCTTTCTACAGCCCTGCCGAAGAAATCAAACAGTGGATCCCTCCATACAAACGGAGTGTAAAATTTATTTTTATTTTTATTTTTATTTTTATTTTTTAAAATAAAAACAAAAAAGGAATCCACAACAATGATGAGTAGTAGTACATAAGCTTTCCGTCCCTTGTCTGCTAAAACAATTTTTTTTATTAAAAAAGATTGCCCTACAGTTTCAATCTCCGCCTATATCACATATTTTATGCTCTTCCCGAAACCCTTTCACCTTTCACCCTCCTCATCCAAAGCCCTCACGCTCATAGGCCCAACGGCTGCGAACGGCATGAGAGCCCAAACGATCATTCAACAGTTACACATCATCCGAGGCTGACATGTCCGAGGCTACTGTGGCCTTTTCTTCCCATTGACAATCTCAAAAAAAAAAAGGAGGGAGTAGAAGCCGCGGAGAAGGGGGGCTTCCATTCGGCTCTCCCAGCGATGAAATGAGCAATCCAAATTTCGCCGATGTCTACCATGGCCCCGTGCTCAATGGATGGAAGGCACGGAGATCTAGACTGTGACCGTCTATATGGTGACAATTTGGTTATAGTTAGGTGCTTGCTGCTGCTGGCCGTCTTGGGTGCGGATGATGATGTGTGGTTCCCGGACTCTGGCGACGTTCCTATGTTTAGCGTGATCGCTAATATCATTTTTCTCATTGTTATCTGGAGCAGTTATATTCTTTTTGTCATTCTCTCTGTAGCATCCAAGCAGCCAAAGCGAAGCCTGGATAACCGCGGAGAGGAATAACACGCCTTGAAAACGCAGGGGATAAGAGGGTAATGTATAAATCGAATCTGACAAAGCCAATTTTGGCCCGGATCACTCAGATCATCTAGCCCATGCCAGGGTAAATATGGGCCTTTGAGGTGTCCTTCATGGAACTTGCGAATCCAATTGATGGACGTCTGTGGTCATGTTAGAAAAATGATATTCGCGGACAAATCAAGGCTGGAAGGGGGAGAAAGGGAAGGAAGGGAAGGAAACTACCAAAGCAGGCAGGATAGTTCCGGTATCCTGTCCAGTGTCCTTCATAGGAGAAATGATAGATTGATACCTCTTGTAGATTCCTAGGGTCGGGTGATTCAAGCCTTACAGAAGAAGTCTGCATCCATCACCAGTCTATCCCTAATCTCCAACAATCAACAATCAAAAAGCCATCCTGTCTTCATCGTCGTCGCCTTTCTCCATTTCCCATTTCCCATCCCCATCAAACTTACCCGACCAAAGGAAAAATTCGACTCAACAGCGCACAGTCAGTAGTTGTACTGGCCAAAATCGTTTGCAACTGATGCTGTTAGGTGCCCCCCTTCACCCCCCATCCTCGATTATTATTTCTCTTCCAATAATTTATTTTAACTTTTACTCACTCATGATGCCGTGGCGTGCGCGGGCAGGCGGGTATTTTCCATGCTATGGTATAGATTTACTATATTCGTGGAATCCCCATGCTGATAAGTACGGCGGGTGTGACGGGGAAGAGGGATCGTCGAAGGGGGAGGGAAGGAAAAAAACAAACGTTTCCAGCTACATAGATAGCTATATGCTGCAGTTTTATGTATGTACCTTACATATATATGTATGGACAATCACTCACACACCACCAAACCGCCCACTGGTAGTAGTAGTGTCGGTGGCAGCCAAATTAACCCCATCCTGGATATCCATCTCCATGTGTCAAAAAACCACTTTAACTACCCCAAGTCCCTCACAAGTAGAAGAAATAGAACCACAATATAATGCTAATGAACGAGTTAGTTATATATATATATATATACAACCCCGTTCAACCTAGCTTGTAACTAACCCCGTCCCCTCAATTCCAACAGCTATATAAAACAGTTCACATAATCATGAATGCAGCATAGTATGTCCATATACTTGGAGAACCTAGCGAAACATCGCGATCCCCTAGATAGGTATGTGGGAGAAATAGACTACACAAGCGTGGAGTTTTTATCATCGAGGTATCATATCAAGACTGCAAAACAAGCACACATGTATACATCCCCCGCGCGTCACGTAGGTTGAAACCTGGCTGTTGAGCAGGGATCATTATTTAAAAGATTAGATACGCCAGAAAAATACCTATATAAGACGTTGGTTACGACAACGTAGGCAAAAAAATAAAAAACCGAAACTAAAGGTTAAGAACGAAGCAAAATATCTGCCCCTCCCGTGCATCCGTGGTGGCCGCAGACATGTTTATTAGTTCCCATCAGTGAGGCTCATCAACATTGGGGCGTATATTCTGTAACTGTTACATTGGTAATGGGGTACGAGGGGGGGGTTTTTTGGGAGGTGTTGAGGTCGTTGTCGCATCCTCTGAACTGCGCTGGCGCCTACCATTAGGAGCGCTCGAGACATGTGCCCGTTCGCGAGGTTCGTTGTCATCATTATCATCACCACCAGTATCTCTCTCGTCTTCGTCACCTTCGTCGTCCGTCATAGCCGGGCTTTCGATACGTTGATTCCTCAAGGCGGACGACAAGCCGGATGCAGTTGACTCTGAGTTAGGAATGCTCGAGCTGCGTCTATCCCCGTCCATGTCATAATCATTGTCGTCTGTAATTGTCCTAAATGCGGTGTCTCTGGAAAAGGATAGCCGTGGGCCGCGGCCTGTATGAGCGCCCGCGGGACATCCTCCTATATCCTGCACCCCTATAGCGTGAGCAACGGCGGCTTCCTCTTCTGGTAACTTTGTGACAATGCTATCAGTGCTTCGTGACTTGTCAAATAATCGGCCGCTCTTCATATCATTCAATCGAAGGACATGGTTGTACCTTTGCCGCGTCGGATTTGCAAGACGTTTCTGTTTCTTTTTCTCGCGCTTTGTTGAGGGGCGGACGACAATAACGGGGATGGGCGATTGTTGGAGACAATATTTAGACACTGAGCCCGGAAGAAGGCCTTGCATTCCACCCAGGCTGCGTCCGCGAGTTCCGACAATGAGCACCGCAGGTTCGTAGATTTGGATCTTAAATACAGTGTCGGGTTAGAAAAAGGACCAGTTGGAAAATACAAAGCGACCACATACCATTCGTTGTATAATCTCCTGCACTTTTCCCGCAGCATATTCCAGTACCAAACTGATCGCTTTCTCATCCGAATTTTTCGCAATGACTTGATCAAGCAGTTTTTGGGCCTCTTGCCTGTATCTTCTTTCTTCCACGCTTGCGTCACTGGCGACCTTCGAATCTTTCTCAACAACTCTTAAACAGACGATTTCATCGCCATCGTCAACGAGTTCGTCAATTAACCATTCAAGTGCGAAATCGGAATAATCATTCTGATCAGTGCCACAGAGGAATGTCCGACTGCGCCGCGTGGGGTGGTAGTCTCTGTGTTTGTAGTTGAGCGTTAATGAGAAATCGGTGGCGTCACGGTTGTCAAATGTGTCGAACGAAACCCCGCGATTATAAGCACTGGCATCGTGAGAAGGTGTTAGCGTAGTATCAGGATGATATTCATCATGGCTGTCAGAGTGGGATGCATTCATATTGCAAATATTATTTGGTGCTTGTAAATGGTGAATGGACCGTCGCACTGGTTGTACTCTGCAGCTGCTTCTGGGGTTTATGACTGGATGACCCTGGACTCCTTGGAGGCAAACCACAGACGCCGAGGCGCAGTGCGCAGGGGCAAGGTGCAAAGTATGCGAATTGGTGGGATGAATAATCACAAAAACTCTCTTCCAGCCACACCGCCAAGCCACGAGGAGAAATCAAAACGTCATTTACGCGGGGAAAATGGAATGATTCCTTTGTGACGAACTACGAACAGACGCTGAAGTGACGAATGGACGAAAACTAACCTTGGTGGGGGAGGAGATGGAAATCTGCCGATGCTGCGGCTGTTCAAAGTTCCCCTTGTGCCATCGGTCCGTTTTTTCGATATTTGAGCCGCAGAGGTCTCGACATTGAACTGGACCGATGGCCGCCGTGGTGAAACGTCGGTCGGCATGGCAGTTGAGCCACTTAAAGTAGAGACACTCGCATCATCTATGTGGGATGGTGCGGTACCATCTGATCCCAAAGCGGACGAACTAGTGTCAGGCCAAATGTTTTTTGTAGGCGTCGACTCGGACATTTGAATATAGGTACCAAACTCCTGAGAAACGGTTTTTCAATGCCCTGTCAATGGGATAGATATAGCCACAGAAAGGTGTAAATCGGGGCGTTTAGTAATGATATATATATATATGGATAGAAACGGGAAAACGGGTGAACAAAAGAAATCCCAAATCCTACAGCCTAACCCAGTCGAAATGCTTCTTTTGGTTTCTTCTCCGATAAGAGATATGCACCATCAGAAGAGATGGGGATTTTTTTTTTTTTATCTTTCGCGCAGAAATAATTCCGGTGGCCAATACTTGATTGGGGGGTTAAGACGAGTATGGATATAAAAGTCTGAGAGAAAAAAATGTCAGCTTAACAGGGCCTCCAGAGTGCAAAGTGACCCAAACGGATTATTCCCAAGCACAATCCAGAATCCCCCTTGTCAACTGCTAGTAAGTCTAGCTGCGTAAACACATCCGGAGCATAGAGAGAGGCAAGAAACTCGAAAAGGGGTGGTGATTGTATATGGATAACTCACCGCTCAGGATAATAGTTTCCGCGTCTGAGCGTCTGAGTCTTGCAGGTATGGTATGACTACAGGATTGGCGGCAAACCTCGGATTTGGACAAAAGGTCAGAGGGTGGGAAAATCAAGATTAGGGCGCACAAGACAGTTTGGGTGTGTCAGGCACCATGAAGCTCCTTTAAGACTTGGAGCAGGATGATTGAGGCACAGGCTGTCATTGTTCAGAGTGATGACCGGTGGGGATATATATTTAATGTACTGTGTGGCAGGCAGATTGTACTAAAGGGACAACTTAAAAACAAATAAAACATAAAAAAATAAAAAGCTGATAGGCAAGGGCGAGGAGGAGGAAGAATGAATAATAGAGAGCGAAGCAGAAACCGAGACGTATCAGCTCTCTTCAGGGAGGTTGGAGGAGGGGATCAACACGAAAGCACCGTGAGCTGTCCAACTGGCACTAGTGCAAAATGGATGGGTTTGATGGAGGTGAAGGTGGAAGGGGAGGGCAAGATAAAAAAAAAACAAGCGAAGATAGACGATAGACGATAGAAGATGGATGGAAGTTGAATGTTGAGGCTGAACCAACCCCCAAAGCCTGCAGCAACAAGTAGCGTAGCCGGGGAGGGGGGACAAACAAACGGCCAGCCACACCTGCCAAGACCTGGGGTTTTCTTCCCCACCCACTCACTGGCAGCCAGGACAGGGCGTAGGTTTGCCAAGATGCCAAGCTACGTGTGTCTACCTTTACCCGTCTTTAGTCAGCCGCCAACCCTGCAGATGCCACACGTCGTCTTAAGCGGAACCTCCGCGACGGAACGAATAATGGGTAATTGGAACAACATTAATAAAGGGATCCCCTGCCCGAAAGACCACTCCTGAACACCCTTAAGACACCCTGACACAATCACACAGACACAGACAGACACACACAGACACACACAGACACACACCGCCTCTCAGAACCAACCCGCGAGTAAAAATGAGAGAATAAGCGGGACGTGGTTATGAGAAGAAGAATGCAGACATGAGCCGCACCTATGTTGCCTACATGTAGTAAATAATGCTGGCAGCAACTTCCAAAATAATTCCCTTTTTTTTTCTTCCCTTTTTTCTTCTCTTTATGAGCTCCCTGCCATATATGTACATGTACATGTACTTGTATCCGCCCGATGTGGTGAAGCGGAGATATCTCGGCGACCAGCGGATCATAAAGTTGACAAGAAAGTACCTAAGTTACTCGCTCTGTAGAAGTGAAATATTCTCCGGCAAGAAGGGCAGTTTGCATCTGTAGCAATTTGAATATAGGCAGGCAGGCAGGCAGTCAGTCAGTCAGTCAGTCAGACAGGCGGTCTAGAATGGTTCCCAAGCAAATCAAACTGAAAAAGAAAAAAGAAAGGCCCCGCCTGATATGACAGCCGGTGGGAGAACTTTCTTGTAACTAACTAATAATTAATATTAATTAATTGGGCGCAGGCCACCTGAGTAGCTATTATTGTATGCACTACATAGATATTACACCTGAACGAGACTTATATTCTACCTCTTATCGATAACACTGTCCAACCCCATCCCATTCTTTATTCTTTTTCTTTCTCCTTTCTAGGTTTGACTTGACTCTCCTGCTATCTCATCCCATTTCACTTTCACAATTGAGCGATTTTGGCTGAAGGCGCTTTGAACTTTGCCCCAGGAGAGGGGAGGGGGATTTGTTCGGTTTCGGGCAAATTCTTCACCTCCTCTCCTGAGTCTCCTCTCGTCCCGTCCTTTATGATCTATCTCGTTGTTCTTTCTTACTGTACGCTGTACATGTACCAGGGTGGATCCCACCCTACAGACCCCGGGGCGGGGCGGGAATTGTTAGAGCAGGATCTTCCCGCCTAGAGCCGGGAGTACCGAGGCCGAAGCTTGGTGGCGACCTTGTCTGGGTAGATTGGAATTTGCGAAAGAAAAAATTGTTGGAAAAGATCGTTAGACGTAAGTGGTGAAAAACACATCGTTTGGATAATTTCGTACTCATCTGGTAAAATATTTCACTTATTTAGATAAAGAGTGTGATCGAGAAAACTAAATCAATTATCCAAAATTGTAGATTTTTTTTTTTTTCAAATATATAGCAATATATAAGATATCAATGTATATGTTGAAGAAATATATAAAAAGGTCAGAAAACCCAGCTCTCAACCAGTCCTAATTCCTAATTCTAAATTCCAAATATCCAAACCACGGTCCGAGGCCAATCTCAAATCCGATCTCCTTGAAACCCCGCCCGTTTCTCTCCGCCTCCTTTCGACCATCGACCGGATTTATACGGTGGGATGGAGAGCGCGGGGAAACACACAGGGGAAAAACGAGAGAGCGGGAAAGAAGGGGAAGGGAGACGTGGTGGAGTAGAATGAGAATGCGAAATGGACGGGAGAATCTGTTGGTTTTGGCTTTAATGCTTTGAAAAGGAGGTGTGGAAAATAGATGTAATATGTGTCTTTGCGGAAATTTGTAGTGTAGTGTAGCGAAGCGGAAGAGGAGAGTGGGTTGTTTGGTTATGCGTTTTATGGTTGAAGCACTGGCTGATGAGAAACGACGAGAAGGGTGGGAGGACAAAGGGGATGTGGTGTTGTGTTAGATAAAAAGGAGATGTTGAAACGCCGCCAAGAGGGGTAACTGATAGTATATCGGGAGAACAAAGAACTTTTTGATATAAGGAAAAAACCCAAAACCCGTCCAAAGTCTCATTTCATCGTCGTCGGCTTGCTCGACGTGTTTACAAAAGAAAAGATATGGCGGTTGATGCAAATGCTCTAAGAAAAAGGCAAAATCAAAAAAGACGTCGCTCAGAATCAGAATCGGAAATCAGTCAGAAGGAGAATCGTAAAGTCGTAAGGCCGATATTCAAGTATTCATGGCTATGGAGGAGATTCTAGATTAATTTAGAAAGCTTCAATCATAGTCCGACCCTCTTGCTGGTGAGGGAGGAAAAACCCGTCCTCGAAAAGCGCTGCCGTTTGTTCTGATGCCGGTGACGACGATAGAGTAGCGAACTTCGGCGGCTCTGATTGTTTTTCTGTAGCGTATAGCTCGGTTGTGACCACGGCTGCCTTCTCGCTAAAGGAGTCGAGTGTGGGCTGTGGAGGTGTGCTGGGCACCGATTCGTCTTCTGACGAAGAGTCGTCGGAATCATCGAGGAGTTCGGGCGGTTGCTGTTGGGAGCGGGAGTGTGTTCGTGTAAGAGCGAGTTCGTCAGAGTCTCCTTCGTCGTCTTCCTCTATAGCTTCTTCTTCGTCTGCGTATCGTAGTATTTCCCGGGTTGTGATTAACGGGGTTGAGGGTATTCGGAACTCCATTTGTAGCTCTTGCTGTTGAGGCTGTTGATAGGATCGGGAGAGTAAGGAGGAAGAGAAAATGTCTTCTTCATCGTAGCCATCTGAGTCGTCGCTATCTGAATCAGAATCAGAAGATAGGTCTTCTGGGTCCCAGTCGTCCTCAGGCTCCTCCACTAGTGCATCAGCCCATTTGATGTGTCTGCGTTGCTGCTGCAGCTCCTCCTGTGATAGCCTTTCCGTAGCACCTTGAACAGAGCGATTAAACCATTTCTCTTGTTCCCTTTCTGCGTCTGCGAGCTCGAGCATGAGAGAATCAAGCATGTTGGCATGGCCTACGAGGATTCGCAGGTCGTGGTCTGGCCGAGAAGCTTCTCTGGAAAGCTTAGCTCTGGCGGTGTGGGCGAGGAAGTATGTCTGGGTGAGGCTCATTTTTCGTTGCTTCTTTGCTGGAGGTGGATGTATTGAGAAAGGAGAGAAGAGAGAGGCGGCGGGACAGGAGGGAAAAGGGGAGGACAGAGTTGACATGGCGAATTCTAGCGGCAGAGAATTGGCTTGTTGTGTGTGTGATAGGAATGTGGTGGTGATGGCAGCGGCAGCACCAGCTGTTGGTTGGGATTTGCTTCACTTTTGAAGGGTTGGCTGCGATGACTCAGTGGTTGCGTGCAAAAAAAGTCTGCCGAACCTTGGAAGTCTGGGTCTGGCCAGGCTCAATGCCGATTGTCCAATTAGAGCCAAGGCGGTGAGAAAGTGCGAGGTAGGTAGGTGGGTGGGTGGCTGCGTCGCGGCGAGTGGTAACTATGGTATTGTGATGATTATTCTTGTTTTTTATCTTTTGTTGTTGTTCTCGTGGAGAAGGGGAAAGCAGGGGGATATAATAAAATAATAATTAATGGACCAACCCCAACTCTGGTAATTGATTCAAATGTAATGATATGAAGCAGGTTTCTTTGGAAGCGAAAACCAAACAAACAATCAACAAAACAGGGAGAATCGGCTATCTTTATGCAGATGGTTGCCTGAGAGTCTGAGCGCTTGGAACTTGGTCCCCAAGCCGCAGTTTATCAATCATCTTCAGAGCTAGTTAGTTGTCCGTACGTACGGCATTAATGCTGCGTAAACACCGGCTGCCGGAGAAAAACATGCACATGCCTTGGATTACTCATTAACGGCCGTATTTGGCTGTGTAATCCATCTGTTACTAATAATGTTGCCTGGGTGTCTGTCTCTAGCGTTTTTTACTCAAGCAATAAAATATAATAACTCTAAACCCGAGTATGCTTGGCTTGACATGGATCCCATCCACGGGAGCTCGCTGTGTCAGCCACTGGAATCCGCTGCTGCCGTGGCCTGGGCTGAGGCCTCGTTGGCGGTGCTCCGGTGTCCGCAGTAATTGATCTGATGGATTATTATTATTATTATTATCTGTCTGCCTGTCAAAAGAGACTCCGGGTAGGTATGGTATGCGAATCATCGACTGTCCGGCGTATATCAGCCACCCCACGAGGCCCTGTTTCAATCCATACTAATACCGGTTACCTGGACAGGAATTAAGTTACGCGTACTCCATGTACTCCGAGCCGAACGGCCGTAACATGTTCGGTACTTGCCAAGGCCTGGAACCCGCATGCGATATGACTTGTCACCGGGCACCTTGCGGAATAATAATAACTACCAGTGTAGTGTAGTGTACGTTACTCTCTGTATTAAATTCTAATTTCAAGCGTATTCGCACTGTTTACTTTTCCGACTCTTATTCACCGCATGTAACTACTCCGCACAACGCATGTCAAAGTCGCCCATAACCTGCCAGGACGACGCCTACTACGACTTATGCAAATTTTGCGGTTCGAACTTCGGTTCGATTCAACAACCACGGACTTCTATCTCCTCTCCCCATCCCTTGGTTGCCCGAATAGTTGATCTGTCAAGGACTGAGTAATCCCATTACTGCGACTTCACACTTCAATTGCGTGATTACTGCTTAATGATTTCCCCTCGTTATTGTTGACTGTTCAAATAACTCCGCTTATGAATAAGATGGCCATTATTCAGCGAAAGTGATGACATATTCCATTTCGCCCTGTGAGGCTGTGACGGAGATAACCATACAGCGTGTGTTCTCATGATGAATAATCAACAAGGACGCAAAAACCAACCCACGCACGCGAAACATGCTCATTTTTCTTCCAATTAATTATCATCACTAAAATAAAAGTAAACGACCCCGCTCTTCTCTAAACATCAGTGCTTCATTTCATATTTCATTCAATCTCTCGAGATCAAAAAAGAGAATCTGTAGCAAGAATCACATTGCTAACCCTTTCCCTTCCCGTGATCGCCGGAGTGGAGTTATGGAGTTATGCACCCCCACCTGGTAAAAAATGCTATCTTTTTTTTGCGCCTTAAATCCTAGGAGGGGATGGGAAGAATAACAAGTAATACTATGACCTAGAAGAATCTACCAACATCTTCGCACATCGACCGCCTTCTCTACATTCCTTAATCATTGATTTTCTTAAAACCCCTGTTCAAGCGCGTATATGAAAACAAAACCCCCCCCCCTCATCTCGGATCTCGGAGATCACTTCGCGGATGAATTGACAGCAAAATGACATAACTTAGTTAATAACCTTGCTGCATAATTGAGTAATCTATGCAGGCGCAATCTCCCCGCCTAACTCAACTTGGGGTGGCCGCTTAACGTCATCCACTTATCCCTCGTTCGGCAGTCAACGACCGAACAATCTTCTTCTCCCTTCCAAAAGGGAAAAATTGTTAAGGATATAGATGCTATATTGTACCTTGAACGTTGTTATAAGGAGACGCTAAAAACATCAGTAATCGACTACTCAATTCCTCAATTGATTTGATGGATGGATAAATTATTCGGCGAGTCGAAACACACCCACCCTGGTTATGGAAGAAAATGCTGTGCAGGGTCTAATCCAAGATCATTCTCCTGTTTCTATCAATAGCACACACAGATATGTATATATGCATTCAAAACACAGCTATAAGACGGGGGACGGCAACGAAAAACATACAAAAAAGGGTTTCGCGAATGCAGACCCGATTCCTCAAACTGTTTAAAACCTTTTATTTTTTCGTTTTCGAAACGGACCCCCGGGCGGCTGTGAGAAAATTTGAGGTGAGTTCGGGGTTAACGTTACTCAGCCACCGAAGAACGTGGGCCGCGGAACAGGAATCATTAGGTATCTTGCAAGAAGATCAGGTGTTGAAGCGAGGACAGCAAAGCGAACGGAATGAACATGAACTGATGGACTGACCTGAATAGACAATGCCAATTATTTTATGTTATTTTTACCATTATTATTATTATTATTATTATCATTACTTTTCTTTCTCTGAATGGCTCTTGTTGGGTTAAAGGTTTGATGCTTCTCCAGGTGTTTGATTACCTTACAGCATCAAATGAGTATGTATACATATCTATAGTATGTATATGAGTAGGAGGACTCAGAAATGCAATGAATTGCGTTGAATCATTTCCGCACATGGCAAAAAAATGAGGCATCAATTGAGAGAACAGGAACTAGTTTGTTGTGTAACAATGACTGGAATATTCACAACGGGCGGAACTGAGCTTCCGCGCATCAGCGAGAGAGAGTGGAATCGCTAGCCTCCAGGCCATGATTTTCTCTGTTCTTGAACGTGGAATAACACAACAATAAAACACAAAACATGTTGTATATTTCCTCCGAGGGTTGTTTTGAGTGGGACAAAAATTACAAACACGAAAAAATTCCGCTGCCTAAAATTTCTTCAGAATGGGGGCTTTTTTCCACGTGGCAGAAAGCTTTGCCCTCTTCTCTCTCTCTCTCTTTTTTTTTGGGGGGGGAGGAGGAGGAGGAAGAAAAACGTGGCCCTTGCATTATTTATTGCCTTTCTCGGAACCTTGAAAGCTGCCCAGCCCACACCTATTTCCTACTCAGGAAATAAATATCCAGCCCTATAGCGTAGGTTTGGTTCAAACTTAGAAGAAGAGTCGTATTCGCGAGCAGGGTAACCTCCCAACCTAGTTACTGCGTACTCATAAAGAGATCTGTCACACCGCCATCGCAATGGATCATTCCTTCGGTCTCGAAAGGGCCCTCGCTAGATTAAGCGGTGAAAAATCCTAAGAATAGTGGTGTGTTGAGTAAGTTAGCAGTCAGCTGTGGCAAGTTGCCTTTTGAAGAATCTCACTTTCAAGGATGGGCAGTGGTTAAACTTTGAAATGTTAATCATCCGTTTATTCTAACAGATATCAATGCTATCATACTTTCATTTCTGATGAATATTAGTTCATTTACTTTAATAACTTTTTGATATTGGATTTCTGGATCTGAATCAAGAGATGTGGTGGTATCAATGGAAATAAACTGCTGTACCTCCCTCCCTTCAAGTCAGGAAGAGATGTGTTCAACCCAGATGGTCTATGAACAAACAACTACGAGAATAAGAATGCGTACAGCATCTCCGGCGAAGTTGCACACCAATGGAATCAGGTGGTATACAAGTACTAGCTATGAGAGGATTTCACAAAACCATTAGCTTCTGAACAGTACTGTAATATAGAGACTATGTCAAATCAAAGATCATTACGGAGTACATACATAGAAGAAGGATTTCCGATTTTGAATATTTTCAGCCTCTTCTTCAAGAACCTCCGAAGCTAACTTGTGATTGGTACAGCGCATTGCTGGACACGTACACCCCCTTCACTGAGGCTGAAAACACACAAATTCAGGGGAAATGAGATGGGCTACTTCATAGCAATAAAAATTGCCCCAAGGGAAGATTAATGGATTTTCAACATCAAAATAATAATTAGCGATGTATGTTTCATCCAAGGTGTTTATTCCAGCTCGCTAGCCTATTTATTGTGTTGCCGACTGGCAGCCAATCAACCACGGCCACTCGACCATGAATGACACCTCGGGAAATCCTTTCGAAACCCGCCAATCATGCGCCGGTATTCCGCATACCTTCTGGTTCCAGGCACCAACTTTTGTGTTTTCAATAGCAGAGAACAGTAGCAATTTTTCATCTCTTGTATAATGTAAGTTAATGTATGGATGTAAATCAAAAGTAAAATCGTGGGAGGAACAAGAGGGGCATGCCTGCCAGTGAAGTGTATTGCTTGCAAATGTTCACAGAATGCCGCATGCATAAATGAAATGGTAAAGCAAAACAGGTTTCATGATTGAGAAGAGTGAAGGATTTCCCACCATGTTTCAGAAGTGCGGGTGTTATTATGGTTGGGCAGCTTCCATGCTGTTGTTAAACAATATTAATGAGGGGATGAAAGGTCTCTCTGCCATTCTCTTCTCTCTTTTTGTCAGACGCATAGCTTTATTTTCTATCAAGAATCTTGGATTTTTTCCCTTTTTCTCTTTTCTCTCCTCTTGAATCAAAAGGCGAAAAACTCGGGGAACACCCCTTCTCCTTCAACAGGAAATATCTTTTCATGATCTCAACCCGTAATTGTTTCCTTGTCTCACCTTCTCTTTCATCCATCATCCGCAGATTACCCCCAACCCTCGCTCATGAGTCACTGCACCGACTCAAACCCACCGCGATTTTTTCCTTTCAAGTTCCTGGCTTGGTCATGTATTGTATTCAACACAACAACGCCCAAGCCGAATCCGCCCAACTCCTGTGTTGTGGGTTCCATTTTGCCTCCTCCCCTTGCGGACCCCACCTCACCAAAGAGAGGTTGAGTTGGAGTCTAGACTTTCAGAGCAGAGTGGCAGAAAATTGGCAGAAAATAATCTCAACAACTTGTCATCGACTCTGCAGGATTTTCAGCTGCGTGTTAGTGTTAGGGCCCTGGGCCCTTGAGCCCCTGAAGCACCTAACTATACCATGCGACTTTTTTGCCTTGATCCATAACTACTTATTGAAGAGGCAATGCTGAATAACTAAATATCTCTCCGTTCAATGGTTAAACCCTTCTCGTGAAAATCCAGGGGCCGTTTGCATCGCGCATTACTGATTCATCGTCATTCATCCCCTTCAGCTCCAAGAAATTCTTTTTAATAAAACAAACGCTTCAACATGGGTAGGACTGGGCTGTGATCTCCTAGCTATATAAGTTACACCTTTAGCGCCGATTTCTGAGTCAGAAAGCGGTAGAAAAAACCATCTAGACAGGGCAAGACATTAGGAATAGTAGCAGATGTCTTTGGTTTTGTGAGAGTGATCGACTTAATGTTATTTATACTTTATATTTACGCTTCTCTGTGGTAGCATATTCCTATCTGGCCAAGTGTTTTTTTTTTCTTTTTTTTTCTTTTTTTTTTCTCCCTGGTCACACGGCGTGATGGCGATTGCCTTGTGGATCTCGCGTTCTGCCCGCATTTTCAGCTCACTTACTGGAGCCCAGCTAGAAGCTTGGGATGCGAAACGTGAAAGCGAAGAGCTCACCACAAGTTCACAACACAACTGCGGCGGGAAGCTCCAGCAATCCTTGAGCTCGCTGGATTGATTGAGGGCGTGATGAGACCATTATCTTATCTGATCTGGTCTTCTCGGCACCGGCCTCGGGTGGATTCTTGCTCCGGGTCGCTTGGGAGCTAGAAGGACAGGTGTTTGTGCATCAATGATACTTGTTTCAGCAGAGGTATCAACTGCTAACATGATAACTGCATCAGTTGACCAGTCTTGCACCCGTCATGTCACAGGAAAAGCATGTGGAGTGTACAAGATTGTTGTCTACGTTGTGCAGGGATCGGTGTTGCGAAAAGGAGATGTGTTTATGCTGCTGCCTGAGAAGAGGGGACAGAGGCTAAATAATTTAATACGGCTGAATCAAACCTGGGGCAGAATTTCTCGCATCCATCTCGCTATCATTCTATTCTGAAAATCCTTCCTCAGACGCTGATGTTTCCGAGGGAATAAAAATGGGAATAACAATTATGACAATAATCCGGTACTCATAATTTCCAGGTGATTCGAAATTTTGCACGAAAAACCTCGGATTCGGATATAAAAAAAAACCCGGAGATTAGCAACCTTAACACTTGTCTCGCAATTATTGTTATTCTTATTCTGCTGACCCGGCAATAATAAGAAAGTGGAAAGCCAGTCGGAGGGTATGAAAACTGTCATATCCGGCATCGGTTGCCGGACAGTCGTCGTTCCGCTATCCCGTCCACATTTTCCTTTCTTTCCCATTGTTCTGGCAGAAACGGGAAGATCGGAAGATTCGGGACGCGAGCAGAATTGAGCACAACATCGCTTCAAATTAGATTGTTTTGAAAAAAGGATGGATGGATGGCTTTTATAATCCATAAAAACAAAATAAAGAAAAAATTCCATGAGCTTGAGTATCCATCAGGATTCTATCCCCCATTGTTGTAAATTTTCATTGCTAATTTTGTTATTTATTTATTTTGTTGTATCAACGATAGAGAATCATTTTTATGCAGTCTTCTCCTCGGAGTCTCAACACTGCGCAGCACCTTGAACATATTATTGCCATGCAAAAGGAGCACTCCTACCTATCCAGTCCAGTCAGCCAACAGCTGCATCGGAAACATGACGCTGGTTCTGAAATTGGGGAATGGAAGCAAAAAAAAACCATTTCCGTCGCTTCTGAATAACCTTACACCGTCTGTGGTCTCAAGATGACGTAATGACATGCCTTTTCAATTCAAGTCGAAATAGAAGGTTTATGAATAACAATACCCCATATGTCAATTGTTTTCTCTAGAGGGGTTGAGTGGATATGTTCAAGATGCTTCTGGATGGGATTTTATTCCTTCTATGTTCGACTATGTTCGATCCCCGGGTCATTCTTCTCGTGTGCGCGCGTGGGAGATAATCAGGGGAAGAGAGAGAAAGCGAAGAAGAACAGGAGCCAAGTCATCGATAGGACGAATCAAAGTTGCACGATATGTATCTGTCAGGCCTTTCTTTTCCATCCTGTATTGATGACGGGAGATCGTGCAAAGAGGGCAGGGGAAGCATGATGTTGGAAATAATGAGAGATGTTCTATGTCTTCCCCATTTTTGATTTTCTTTTTGATACATATGTGCAGAGTGAATGGACGTTGTTTCCTGTAAAGTGAATTGGTGAATGAATGAGTGAGGAAGGTCATATTTTCCAGCACAGACACAGACATCTGAAATATAAATTGGATGCAAATACCTAACTTGTTTGTTAGATAATATATGTGCTATACAGTAGTAGTGTGTATAACAAAACATGCATACATTCACAGATCTGAACCACCTAAAAAACAAAATGATATTCCCAACTCTCACTATGTCACAGTTACTCCCGCAATCCATTCTAAATATCGCTCCCTTCAAATTTTTGAAGCCCAGAAGTCCAAGCCAGGCACCTACTCCAGGGAAACAATCCCAATCATCCCAATCGCAACGCGAAACCCGCCCCCGCCTCAGACCCGTTCCCATCACCACCGCCTGCTCCAAAGACATTCGCAAAATCCAACCGAGGCGCCTCCTCCCCTCTCTTCGGCGCCTCCGGCGTCTCCCGCCTCCGTCTCTTTTCCATACCCGCCCTTAGACGGAAACGTGGGGAACATCTCTTTCGCTTTGGGCTTGGGATCTTCGCCGAAGTACGGGTGTGAGAGGCATGTTGCAGCGTCCGGGCGGGAAGCCGGATTGAGCACGAGAAGGTGAGAGAGGAGGGTTAGGCCCGGCAGTGGTGAGGTAGGGGAATTTCGAGCGGGGGAGGAGGGGAATGCTGGCGTCTGAGGTTGTGGTGGGTGGAGCACCACTGGTGGGGAGACGGAGGGATTTGGCGTTGGGCAGGGAACGGAAGGAGGGCCAGGTTTGGGTTGTCGGCGGTCCCGTGAGGGCGAAGATCTGTATGGTTTGAGCGTTAACAGCGGTGGTTTCAACATGTGATAGATGAGATGGAGCTTTGTAGGAGAGGTCGGTCGTACCTTGGATAGTTGGTCTACTTCATTCTTCCCTTGGAATAACGGCTCTTTCGTCAAAAGCTCACCGAATATACATCCTATACTCCACATGTCGATCTCCGGTCCGTATTTATCTGCTCCAAGTAGAAGCTCCGGAGAGCGATACCATAAGGTGACCACTAGCTGGGTCAATTTTGGTGGCGGGTCACCGTAATATCTCGCCATTCCGAAGTCCGCAAGTTTGATTTCCCCTCGATTATTCATCAGTAAATTTGATGTCTTCAAATCGCGGTGGATAATCCAATGCGAGTGTAAGAATTCCGTTGCGGAAATGATCTGTAGAAGTAACGTCTTCGTCTCTGATGGTAGGAACGGCTCGCGCATATCCTCGAGGAGCGTCTTGAGGTCATGTTCGACGAAATCCATGACGAGGTAGACGCTATAAGGGGAAGGGAAGTACATGAGGAGACGAGCTGGTTAATGATTTCCGGTATCCGGGCTTTTCAGAAGAACTTGCATATAAATAAACGCGCGGACTTACTCATCCATGTCATTGCCCATCACAACTTCGCGTAGATGGACAACATTTGTATGCCTGGACTCCAGCAGGGTCTGGATCTCTCGCAGTCCAGTGATTGGAAAACCGTCGTTGCAGTGTTCCATCTTCAGTCGCTTCAGCGCGACAATCTCGCCAGTTGCCAGCTCCTTCGCCCTCGATACCAGACCATACGACCCTTCTTCGATGCGATTTAGCCGTTCGAAATTGTCCACATGCCTGCACGGTCCCCATTCTGGGGCAGGAAATCGTAGCAGGCGAATAGGTTTCTGATCAACAGTAATTCCGGGCTGTGATTCTGGTTCATTCGACAACCTGCGCCGCTTGGTTGGCCTCCCTGCATCGCCATTCATGCCTTCCTCTAGAGCTTGCAAAGAGCCATTTGCCCTCTGGTTCACATGTTTTTGTGCAAGCAGTTTCTGAGCCTCCGCTTGTTGGCGCTGTTTCTCTGCCTTTATCCGTTTCCGCTCCTCCTTTTCTCGTCTTTTCTGCGCAAGAAGAGCCTCTGTTTCGGCATCATCCTCTGCCCATCTTGATTTCGGCGCGGTCGACATTGTGTGGCCCGATGGCAATGTGAGGATTAGTCTTAACTATCTATCTTGTGTTCTGTGTTGTGGATGGAACTGGATTATCTCAGCATCCTCAGCCTAGTTATTGATTGGAGTGCCAACCTTTGACTCACTTTTCTGAACATCAAATTGAACTTTATCACTCTGAAATACACATGTATTATAATCTAGTGAGGAAAATCCTCTATAAAATATATAAAACATGTAATTGTAATCACTGAAATAATTATCAACACTTTTTTTATTTACCTAGTCAATATTAGTTTAATCTATTAACTATTAATTTCTTTAAAAATATCTTGGAGGATAACGCTGTAATCTAAGGTGTGAGACTACCTAGGTAACGTAATCAACCACCTAACGCTCGTTTCCACCTAACGCTCGCCTTTGTAAATCAATTACAATCCACTTTAAATGTTAATATCTCAATAAATATTCATTATTTTAATTTTTTAATTTGTAATCTATAAATATCAAGACTTATAGTATAATATAATTTAAAATTATTATAATACAGTTAAAATTGATTAAAATATAGATTCAATTAGAAAATAAAATACAGTATAATAAAATATATAATATTTTATTATAAATTAAGAAATATGTATTATATATTATTGAAAATAATAATTCTTATATAAATATATTATAATTTAATAAATATTAAATTATTTTATATAAGAATTCTATATTTTAATTTTTAAGAATTTTTTTAATTTTTTATTATAATATTTTTTATAAATTACAAGTAAAATATTGAAAACTCTTGAAATTTTAAATTTTGAAAAATAATTTATTAAATATAAATATATTTAAATAATTTAATATAATAATTTATTTAAATTACAATTTTAAAGTATAAATAATACACAGTTATTACAAAAATAATATTTTAAAATATAAGATTTTATATAAAAATTTAAATAAATCAATAATAAATAAGAATTTTAAGATAAAATTTTATATTTTATTAAAAATATATATAATCTATAAGATATTTAATTTTTATATGAAAATAATTTATATTTATAAATATATTTATAAATATAGACTGTGTATTTTATTTTAAAATAGTATTTTAAAAAGCTTAATAAATTAATAATTATATGTTATTTTCTCATAGAAATTTAATATAATATAATATATATCTATGAATTATTGTTCTGTTTTTTAGAGTAGTTTTAAATAAATATTCATTGAGATATGAATATTTGAAGTTGATTGTAATTGATTTACAAAGGCGAGTGTTAGGTGGAAACGAGCGTTAGGTGGTTGATTACGTTATATAAGATAGGTCGCACGTGATTAGAGTAGGTGTACTCCGTACCTAGGTATTAATCTGTAGCAGCGTCCGCCTCAGTGACGTTGCCATAGCGATCACTCCGCCTACACGTGATCTCATATGTAATATAAATATAGCTAGCTCTTCTCACATGAATACAACAGATTAATTATCCCACAGGTTATAGCTCAGATAGCATGTTTTTTTACAAAGAATCACATTATTTTTATTTTTATTTTTACTTTTATTTAAAAACATCTATGTAAGTATTGAATGTATTCATTCTGAATAGAAGAATTCTTTTATTACATTTACTTTACATGTTTTAAGTGTATCTGCTTAGTTAGTAATTGAAATAGCAGAACTCTATAGTATAATATATTTATTATCAATTTCTCTCTTCAATTCTTCTTTAACTGATGAGTAGTTTATTTATATTACAGAGTGATAGAAGAAGAACTTTATATTTATATTCAGTGATGAGCTGCATCTGATTATATAGACTATTTTATTACACTTTATAGATTTCTGCTGAAAGCTTCAATTCTCAGTCACTGATTCTCAGCTGAGAAACTTACAGAGTTTCTATTCTCTCACTCTAAAGCTTCATCTTATACATATATAAATATTTACTTTAATTACTGATTCTCATACTTTCTCTTTTATTTTTCTTCTTTAATATTTTTTACTTTTATTATATAAGATCTATATTTTAATACTGATCTATTTAGTGTAGATCTCTTATACTTGAAAAACATTCATTATCTTCTCATTAGAAATGATTATTCATTGAGAAGATATTTAAACAATACATAATAATATGTAAGAAATAGATAAATAAACAATTAGTTAAGTAAATACTGAGTTTCTAGATAGAAGCTTACTTATCAGTTACTCTGACTCTGTAATAAGATTTTATAAAGAGAATATCAGTGAAAGATCTGAAATCTCTGACATCTTAGATATATGAGATTAGACTGACCGTGTGACTGTGTCTGAGACCAGGACTAGATTTTTTAATAGTCTCATTATCAATTCAACTGATCCCATTACACAGTTTTAACATTAGATAGTAGTCTCATACTGTCTCAGTGAGACTTACTGTCTACTCTTGTCACATTTTCCAAATAAGACCATGATTTTCACTTCTCAATTTAAATTATTTTTATTGCTTTAAATGACTTTAAATCTCATTTGAGTGTTACCAAAAAGTGTTACTTTTTAAAAAATTAAAAATAGTCTAAAAAAAACCTTAAAATGTCTAAAAATAGTAACTTTATGCCAAGAATGAAACTAAATGAAATCAAATGAGATCACTTTCTCATTTTTTTCAAGTCATGATTTCATTTTAAGATCTGATATATAGTCACTTTGCATGTTTTTTTGATGACTAGTCCCAGTGGGATTCACGCCAAGAAATGTATGAGATCAGATCAAATGAGATCAAATGTGAAATTCATAATTTCAGCGGCCAGTCTATATAAGATATTTATATAAATACACTTCTTTCAAAGAACTCTCAGATGCAGATATTATATATCAGATGAATAATATAACTATATCTATTAATAATATAAGAGAACTCTCAAACGCGAGTATAGACACAGTGTTACAGTGACTTTAAACAATGTTAAAATTACAACAATAATAGATAGCTGATATACATGTAAATTAATAACATTAATACAAGGAAATTCAACAATTAACTTAATAAGAAATCTCTGTATAGACAATTTCAACACTGACTGAATCAGATATAAATATATAAGCACTGAAGAAATGTCTAGACACTTCTGTATATTTTAATACTTCTGATCTCACTCTTTACTTATCATGAAGATTGATCATACTTATGAAACTAAGTGTAAATAAAGATGTCATTGATTTATTAACTAATCAAGATTGATATATCAATGATTGATTGAAGAATTATATACAACAGAGATTCTATTTATGAATGAAGATATATGAATCAGTGTTACATATATCTGACAATGTTATCAGATATCTTGATATTCTGTTCAGAGACACTGCTATGCAGCAGAAGATATTAAATTGATTACAGAGTATCTGACAGAGAAATACTTCTCTCACAATATTTATCTCTGACTTTGACATCAAGATTCTAGAAGCAGACAGTTAATCTTGAGAGAATTAAATGAAGATTAACATGCTTAAGAAGATGCTAACTTTTGAACTCTTATAAGTTCTTATAAGTGTAGATGAAGATCTGACTTATAAAGACTTCTGTATACAACTCTGAACATTGAATAACTGTCTTATCAAGCTTAAAAGTATATAGAATAATAGCAGAAGATATTACACTTATACATCTGTATCAAAGAATAATAATGCAGATGTTATGAATTGAGTAGACTTGAATATCTATATATAAACAAGAGTCTCTGCTGTTTGAATAGTCTTCTGAGTTTCTGAGATCAATTCTGAAGAAGCTATCAATCAATGTTAATAAGAAGTATGCATTAATTATAACTGATCAGAATATATTACTTTCAACTGCTGATCAGTCTATATATCTTCTTATTCAAAAGAAAGATTAATACTGATAGTTCATGTCAATTATATTATATAAGAGAAGAATTCAGAAGATAACTATAAGAATATCTTAATAAAATAGAGAAAAGATTAGCTTTTGCTCAAACTCATAAGCAGAAGCTTGAAGAGATTGAATAATAATAATTTAAAGAGAAAATAATAATGAATGCAATTCTTATATCTACTGTGATAGATAACATGTATGTGATTCAAAGATTGCTTGAGCCAGCGTACGATTACAGGCGTACGCCGGCTTCTTATATACTGTACGCTAAATTAATTGGTGGTCGCTATGGCCCCTTTACATTTATAAGCAAGTTTGGAAGCAGCTGTGTTATTATCCGGCAGTCATACATTCTTCTGAACTACATCCTCCCTCATCAGATTCAGTTACGCTCATGTGATCATGACATACACTCTAGCTTCATGCGGATTAGCGCGTCACTAGTGTTCATAATCATGTGACCTATTTCTGATTCAGCTAGCATTCTGTGTACACTCTTACAAAGAAACTTTCACTATATTACATCACTTATTCACTAACTTTTCTCATTCTTCAATTATCTTCTTCATCATCATCATCATTGAATATCATCATCTCATTCAAGATTTCTATCTCTTCTTCTGTTCAATACTTTCTATCTGTTTATCTATCACATTGTACATGTTTCTGACAATGACTTCTCATTTTCACAACAAGTGTCATTGTAGTACTCATACTGAGCAGTTTATTAGTAGTAAGTATAACATATTGTAGAATGTGACTGAGACTTGTTTATCTTCTAACAATTATCAGAATATACTATCATGAATGACACATCTTCTTCATCTCTCTGTATATCTCTGATTCTCTTTTTTTTTTCAGCAGGCATCTGATCATGTTTTTCTGATTATATTTTCTAATTGTTTTGCATAGCTGCAGATACTGATATATTTATTTTAATTCACATAGAATCTTCACATGTTGACAGATCTGCATTCACTGATGATTGTGATTTCAATGTTGAATTATTGATTGAGAACTTGAAGAATGTGATAATGAAGAAATTGCTTATATTATATGTGACTAAGTCTTCTGTGTTCTTCTCTGCTCTCTCTGTTTCTTTCTCTGCCACTTTCTCTTAATCTTCTACACCTGCTTCTGTGTCTGATTCTCTCACTTCTGCTATCTCTGTTTCTGTGACTTTCACTTCTACTACTTCTGCTCCTTCTGATTCTGCTGTCTCTGCTTTCATTACTAGCTCTCCCTGTTTCAAG